ATCTCACTAAGTTATTCTGATGTCTTACCATGTTGCTGACTACAGGTTTCTCCTGTCTGCGTCATCTTTATCTCACTAAGTTATTCTGTGGTATTACCACATTGCTGACTACAAGTTTCTCCTGTCTACCTCAGTCTTTTCTCTCATTAGTACTGAGTCGTCACCACACACTGTACCTGAGCCAATAGGTTTTGAAATTGTTTTCTCGTGAGAGGCAGAAGGAAGGTGGTGATGGCTCTCCTCAGTTCACTTTTCGACACTGTCAGGCTCTGACCAGGATCGAGCAGCTGAAAGGCTTTTTTCAACTCATCTCCTTTGTCGGTAATTTTTTGAAATAATATCCGCTTAACGTCTACAGGGGACAGTATCGGATTTGCAATCGCTGAGGCTATAAGAGATACAGATATTTGTTAAATGCTTTTAAAGATGAAAGACTGTTCTGCTATTGAACAGAATCAACAATGATTCAACAATAATTTCTTCTACTACATCTAGGAGCCTGCAGCTACAATCGTTCTACGATGCGCAATGGAAATTCTACATTTTTAACCCTCTGCACTTTAGACAGTAACTTTAGTAGGGAAAAAAAGACAAAGATTATCTTCCCAGTAAAGGGCATGTGTCATCACAAGTGAAAAATATGGGTATGAGAGAAAATTTAGTTAAGAATTAATGTCATTTCAAATAAGTCTTTAAAATACCATGTTTTGCGTTTCATCCCTATACCAATTTTTGAGGGAAAAACATCTCATTCTTTCATTCATATTGCTTCCCTTTCAAACGTAAGGAAGAGATAACATTCTAGACAATGAAATATAACAAAAGAATGTTTACATTGCTTTTCACAAGCAACTCACAGTAGCCACATGATGTACGAAAGGGGAGGAGACTGTTAGTCAGACATGCTGGTCAATGACAGGACGCTCAGACAATTAACAATAATTGTTGTTGTTGTTGTTAAGTGCCGTGGAGTCGGTTCCGGCTCATAGCGACCCTGTACAGCGTTTCCGAGGCTGTCAATCTTTACGGGAGCAGAAAGCCTCATCTTTCTCCCACGGAACAGCTGGTAGTTTCGAACTGCTGACCTTGCGTTTCACAGCCCGATTCGTAACCACTACGCTACCGGAGCTCCTATTAACAATAGAGGGCAGAGGGCAGCACAATTCACACACATTCAACCACTACCACAAAGACTGGCAGTTCAAACACCAAGGAACAAAGGCCTGGAAATCTGTTTCCATGAAAATTACAGTCAAAAAAAGCCCTACGGAGAAATTCTACTCTGTAACACACGGGATTGCCATGAGTCAGAATCTGCTTGATGGCAATGAGCTTTTTGGGTTTTTGTAGGGCTTTTTTCACGAATTGCTTCATAGGTTAAGCATTGGCCCACTAACTACAAGGTAAGTGGTTCAAATCCACCAGTCGCTCCTCAGAGACCCCATACAGGGTCACTATGAGTCAGAAATGACTTGATGGCACTTAACAACAACAGTAATTGCTTCAGATGCAGGAGAAAGCTAGACAATGAAAAACAAAGACCAAAGAAGAAGTGATGGATTCAAATTGTGCTGTTGCCAGAAGGAAAAACAAGTCTGTCTTGGAAGAAGTACAGCCAGAAGGTTCTATAGAAGGGAGGATGGGGAGACTGTGAACATGTTATCAGGAGGGACCAGTACCTGGAGAAGGATGTCGTGCCTGGTCAAGCAGAAGATTAGTGAAAAAGAGTTAGAACCACAACAAGATGGATCGTCACAGTGGCAGCAGCAATGGGCTGAAACATAGCGATTGTGAGGATGGCACACAGGACCGGGCAATGTTTCGTTCTGCAGTGCCTAGGATCACTATGAGTCTAAACACAGGGTCATTGTGCATCACTGCCAGCTCTGGGAATGAACAAGCCACCCCCCAACACCACTAGAAAGCACCCCAAACCTTTGCACCTCCCCAGCTGAACTGCATGAAACAGTGACAAGCTATCCCGAGACCTGCCCACATGGCAGGCAGACCGGTGAATCAGGTGGCTTCTGCTGTTTCAAGCCACTGTGTTTAAAGACTATTAAGAGTTCTGAGACAGGAGAGGAAGTCTGTGAAACCGGTAATGAGTTCCGTTTGGGATATCAGAGCGAGGGGATTCATGTGAAAGATGAAGACATGAATCTAGTGATTGAAGGGGGGTGGGCTAGAGATCTGGGTGTAGGAACCAGCAGAAAGGAGGCCATGGTGGGCACAAAGCGAGTTGGCTGGTGAGAGGATGGCATTTTGGGAAAGTGTCATTCATTCACTCGAACGGTAGTCACTGAGAAGCTGTCCTGTTTCTGCCACGGTTCTAGGCACCGAGAGTGTAGAGGGGAACAAGACAGCTACAGGTCTCACTCCCATAAAGTGTCCTATCTGATGGTGAGAAGATGGGCAAGACACAGGCCAGTGCGTTATACCATAGAGGCTGGTAGAGGCAGGTGCAGCGTAAAAAGCAATCCAATGATGTGATAGGAAGTGTCTGGAAAGCCGTTTGCTAGGAGGTGGGGTGGGGTGAGAAGTGCGCTCTGAGTCATTTTAGGAGCTGAAACCTGAATGATAACAATACGTCAGATAGGCAAGAAGTTGAGCTTACAATGGTCTCATCAGGGAATCAGGAGCCTGGTGGCACTGTAGGATAAGTGCTGGACTGTGAAGCACAAGGTCAGAGGTTCAAGCCTGGGAATGATGTACAGCCTGAGAAGCCCTATGCAGGGTCGCTAGGCGTGGGAACCGACTCAACGGCACTTCACAACATCAGGAAAACAGCAGTGGCTATAAAGCCCCTAAAAAGAGTACGATTGGTAAGCCCAGGAGAGCAAAAAGGCCAGTGTGAACACAGTAAGCACAGACCGAGGCCAGAGTGGGCAGGGCCAGCTGACAAGGGCCTTGGGTATCTGCAGAAAGGACTGGGGTTTTCGAGGGCAGTGGCGGCTAGATTCGGGGGGTTTACGCAGGGCATTGACGTCCTCATATACGTTCCACAGAGATCATTCTGGCTGCTCTGTAGAGAATGGATCATAGAGGAGTAGTACGTAATGAGAAGAGAAGACCAGACAGGAAATGAGTCCGAGAGTCCAAGAAGAGGGGACTGTGGCTTGAACCAGGTGTTGGTCTTGGATGTGGAGAAAGAAAAAAAAGCAAAAAACGAGACAGATTAGAGCTATCGTTTGGAAAACTAGCTGACAAGATTTACTGATGGAATGGTTTTAGGAGAGTGAAGAGAAAGACAAAAGAAAAGACAATTTCAGGATAATTCCTAGGTGTTGGACTTGAAGAACTAAACAAGAATATTGCCTGAGAAAGGGGACACTGATGGCCAGTTTTTGTGTTTGTGACGCCCATCAGACAATTCCCAAACACAGAGAGAGGGCGAGGACACGTGTGGAAATAGGATCTGGAACTTCGTGAGGAAGTCAGAGTCAGAGATTTGAAACACACATGGTAGAGATGGTACTGAGAGACACTGGGCTGGATGCCTCACCCAAGGAGAGGGCAGAAATGAAGACGAGGAACCAGCGTCCAGCCCTAAGAAGGAAAGAGGCTTAAATCTCCAACAAAACCTCCAAAGATCCTCAGAAATGGGTCAAAGACAGAAGACAAAGGTCCTCTTGACATCAAAGAGTGTTCTGCCCAATTTCTAGTCTAGTATCTAGAAATGAAAACTGTGGGATGAATCTTCAAGGGGAAGGTTTCAAGGCAGAAACTGGCATCTTCTAAAAGCTCTAACACAAATAAATAGCTCAAGTGAAATCCCTATGCATTTTTCTCTGGTCTGAGCTCTTCCTCAAGTTTCCCAACTTCTGCGATGAACTAAGAGAGCAAATTCTGTTTGGGCTAAAAGTGGAATGACCACAGACCGTGAGAAAGGAGCGTAGAAAGTATGTGTGAGGAAGACAATCGCGAACTCCTACTAAGTTAACCAGGGAAAGGGGAAACTGCAAGGTAAGTCCTGGGACAAAAAGAACCACCGCCTGGAAGTGAAGTGAAGTCACTATAACATTTTTCCTCTTATGACAAAAAATCTCTTTATTATGAAACTAGTGTTTCAGAAGCGAGAACACTCAGATGAAATTATTTAAAGAATGTCAGAATGAGGAGAAACAGTCTCCTCGACTCTGAAGCCAGAAGAACTAGATGGTACCCGGTTATGCCTGTCAACTGCTCTGAAAGGGATCACATTAGAATGTCGAGTACATAGCAGCAGAAAATG